TAAAGGTGTGTATAATAGTGCGCAATAGTATTAGTACTTAATAAATTTACATTAGTTTTTTGAGAAATCGGAAGTAGCGTAAATTACTACTTCCGGGTCAACGGAATTTACTCAAAATTTAAACAGAAGGTAGAGAATTAGATCTTTTACTTACATGTGAAATTTCATTTATCTATATGAAATAGTACTCAAGTTATAGGCTTTTGAAAAATTCAAAGTAGAAAAAGTACCACTTCCGGTTGTCGGAAATAGCTCAAAAGTTGATACGGATCTACGATTTTGATATAATACTTATATATGAAATTTCATCAACCTAGCTGTAACGGTACTCAAGTTATCGTGTTTACACACGGACACACAGACACACACACACACAGACATACGGACAAGATTGCAAAATTATGTTTTTCCGTATCAGTGAGGTGTAAAACGTCGAGATTTGTAAAAATCTCGATTTTTTTTTTTGCACGATTACAATACTTTCTCTATACTACGTATATACGAGAAAGTAAAAACACAGAAAAAAAGTCACAGTTTTTGCTAGGAAAAAAAGTCACAGAAAAAAAGTCACAGTGGATAAATTTTATCGGAAAAAAAGTCACAGAAATAAAGTCACAGAAAAAAGTCACAAAAATCTTTTTAGAAATATTTTTATTAATTTGTTTAGAATTGTAAAATTTTGTATGTTTATTGTTGTGGGTTGTATTTTTTGATAGCATAAATTATTTATAGACGTTAAAAGCATTATGATTTATAAAAATTGTAAGTAAAAATACTCTAAGATAATTTACGCAACAATCTCAACTTGTTACGTATTTAGTTAAATACGCGGTAGAAAGTTAATTATAAAAGAAATTTAGGCAAATTTTGCCGTAGGCTATTCTCTGGTCGGCCTCTCCTCAGTAGCCATTGTCTGAACATATTTTGTGTTGTTGACGTTATGCGTCATCGACAGCCTTTGAACCTTTTCGGCTTTCTGTTTTGATCCTAAGTTTTGTTATGTAATGAGCGTGATAAATGTGGGAAGTAAAGGTGGTTGAACTAAACATAACTATTGTTGCCATGAGTTGAGGGCAGCAAGTCAGATGAACTTACCATTTCACGGTAATTTAATATTGGTATTTTTAAAAAAAAGCACGATAAAAAACGTGGACTTTAGAGCATTCTATTAAATGATACTTATCTTAAGTTTAAAAATAATTACAATCTACATACTTCATAATAAATATTTTTAGATGAATTATAAAAATTCCTATGCGTATACAGCCTACACACATTATATTACATTTAATTAATCCTAAGTTTAATTTGCACTATCTAAATATTTAATACATAACAGTATTAACAAATATCATGCAAATATATATTTGTGACTTTTTTTCCTGTGACTTTTTTTCCTGTGACTTTTTTTCTGTGTTTTTTTTTCCCTGTGTTTTTTTTTCCTGTGACTTTTTTTTTCCTACAATCCTCTTCCCCCCCCCCCCCCCCCCCCCCCCCGAACAAAATGGAATTGATATAGAAAATGTATTTTACCAGCGTCCAGAAACACAGAAGGGGAGTCCCAACTGCTGAGAATGTGGCTTGGGAGATGTATAAATGCTGTTAAATGGGAAACTGGGTTAGATGCACTGTGTGTGAAAGATGGTGTCAAAATGTATGTAAATTACAACTTTTAAACTGTTTATTTATACTTTAACGCTTTCAACAAGTACAACAGTACCAAGTGATAAGGATAAGAAGGTATTAGAAGGTATTAGATATACATGTGGCTGAATTTTTCTACAGACACCATCTTATATGAACTCACAACGAACCCAAGCAGGTTTGTTAAATTCCTAAAAACATGAGCGGGTTAGATTTTTAAAAAAATATTCTCATGATGAAACTCTCTGTGACCCGCCGACCGAGACGGGATTTTTCTTCCGCGAACAAGAAATTAACGAGAATTTATATTATATATATATATATATATATATATATATATATATATATATATATATATATATATATTATATATATATATATACACATCTATACATATATGGATCTATATATATACAATATATATATATACATACACATAGATTGATTGATAGAATGTCTCGCATGATCTTCTCCCACAAAAATAGGGAGAGGCGGTTTGTCATGGAAATACGTGCAGCGTAGAGTTGAGTAAAAGTAAAAATAATGAGGACACATTGATTAGTTGAATTTACTCGAACCCATATAATCGTTGATAGCTAGACAGTCACAAAAGACAGTAAAAAGTTCGGTCTACGGCATCTTCTATTTTAAACAAGTTAATTAAAAAGTCTAGTGACATTTAAGCGCAATTTCACTTATGTTATCTAAAAATAGCTCTGTCGTAGCGTAAATCAAGAGCAGGGTTAGTAAAACCATTGGTTAATTATTAAAACGTTTTTTATTAATTTTTTTTTCAGTATTTTACATGTTTTTTACAATAGAGTTACATGACTAAAAACGATTGCGCGCCTACTGAACGTGATGACGCAGCCATTGAACGTGATGGCGCAGCTATTGAACGTGATGACGCGTTTGGTGTGGTTGGATAAAAATGCCTACTAATTCGGTCCAAATTTTAATTAATTAAAAAAAAATTTTGTGACCGAACGAAAGGATATTTTTGAAAACTTTCTTCGGCAATATTGTTCTAAATTATGGCAGAAATCGATTGGTACATGTTTCAAGTCGCTAAGTGGTCTGGTTGCCGAGATATGGGCCAAAAACTGCATTTTTTCGAGGTTTTTTTTTTTGCTTTTCCGGGAAATCCATGAAAGAAACCCGGAATTTTTATGGCCTATGTTCATCCTCGTAACTTGCTTAACATAATTGCTTTTGGTACTAGTCATCGATATTGCTTCGTTGAGGAGGAGATACGACTTAAAGCTGCGGACACACATCCATCCATCCATCCATTCATTCATACATTCATACATCCAGAAATGACGGGTTAATAAACGCAATTCTCCAGAATGGAAATTGCGCTTAAAAAAATTATGACTGCCTGCAATCTATGACTCTATGAAAAATAGAGGGTAAAAAGCCTATTAAAATCGAGAGACAATGTACACTGCGTCCCGGACGATCACTCTTTCAATAAAGAATAATTTTAGATAGTCTTATTTAGTACATTCACACTGTAAGTTTACACGCCGTAGTCTTACGGACATCCTTGAAAAGTTTACTCCCAGTCAGGGGCGTAGCGAGGGGGGGGGGTGCGGGGGGTGCGGACCGCACCGGGTGACACCATTTAGGGGGTGACACCAAGGCAAAAAATAGCAAATTATATAGAGAAAAACTCGAGGGGGGGGGGTGCAAATCGAAAGTTTGAGGGGGGGGGGGGGTGCAAATGGAAAACTTGGGGGGGGGGTGCAAATCGAAAGTTTGAGGGGGGGGGGTGTGCAAATCGAAAATTTGAAAGTTTGTCCCTGGGAAGGTTCTCTATGCCTCTGGGGGGGGGGGGGGGGTGACACCATTAAGTGCCGCACCGGGTGACACCCAACCTCGCTACGCCACTGCTCCCAGTTGCTATTTAGGTCTAGTAAAAGATGTTACCGAGAATATCAAATCCATATATAACATTAACCCTTAATGTACACATTGCATCGATATGAAATGAATTTATTTTACAGCATGTTTTGAGAGGTCTACTTAGTAGCCCCGCGTATCCATTGTATAGGGAGCTCTTTCAAACGATTGTAGGAAAAAAAGTCACAGGAAAAAAAAAAACAGGAAAAAAAGTCACAGGAAAAAAAGTCACAAATGTATATTTGCATGATATTTGTTAATACTTTTATGTATTAAATATTTAGAGAGTGCAAATTAACTTAGGATTAATTAAATGTAATGTAATGTGTGTAGGCTGTATACGCATAGGAATTTTTATAATTCATCTAAAAATATTTATTATGAAGTATGTAGATTGTAATTATTTTAAACTTAAAATTAGTAGCATTTAATAGGATGCTCCAAAGTCCACGGTTTTCATCGTGTTTTTTTTTTAAATACCAATATTAAATTACCGTGAAATGGTAAGTTCATCTGACTTGCTGCCCTCAACTCATGGCAACAATAGTTATGTTTAGTTCAACCACCTTTACTGCCCACATTAATACGCTCATTACATAACAAAACTTAAGATCAAAACAGAAAGCCGACAAGGTTCAAAGGCTGTCATTGACGCGTAACGTCAACAACACAAAATATGTTCGGACAATGCCTACTGAGGAGAGGCCGACCAGAGAATAGCCTATCATTTTATGCTATCAAAAAATACAACCCACAACAATAAACATACAAAATTTTACAATTCTAAACAAATTAATAAAAATATTTCTAAAAAGATTTTTGTGACTTTTTTTCTGTGACTTTATTTCTGTGACTTTTTTTCCGATAAAATTTTTCCACTGTGACTTTTTTTCTGTGACTTTTTTTCCTAGCAAAAACTGTGACTTTTTTTCTGTGTTTTTTTTTTCCTGTGACTTTTTTTCCGTTTACCTTTCAAACAAAGTTGGAGCGCAGTCCCTTCGATATTTAAAATTATTTATGACAGAAACCTTTTCGCCAGACAGTGATAGCACAAAAACAACATAAACAAAGAGGAATAACTAAATTAATTTTTCTATAAATAATCTAAGCTATGTTACATCCCTTTAGATATTTCATTTTTGTGGTTCCCGGGCAAATGCCTGTAAAGTGTCGATATTTAAATTTAAAAATTTGACAAAAACCTTGGCTTGAGTGTACTCAACAACTGTCCGAGACGCCAAAACAAATAAAACATACATTCATTTTTATAGCCCCTTATAAGCATAAATAGAGTGATAAAGGAGGTTTCTTTCATGCATTTTTCCCAAGGGTTGAGCATGGGGGTGGGGGGAGTGAGTGTGGTGAACCTGCTCTCGAAACAATACCCAGAGAGACCTGAAAGAAGCACTGTAATAAGCAAGTTCAATCTTTCACTGGTGTAGAAGATTTCAAATATATTTATGAAAAATTTGGTGGGTACCACAAATAGCCCAAAAAAATTTTCTATTGAATATTTATTTTAAAACCCATTAGTATTAATTATTGAAAAATTTTAGGTTAATTTTTATTAAAACATATAACACATTTAATTTTGAAGCTCAACTGCATAATAAATAAATAATAGCCTACATTTCATTCAGATTTTACATATGCAGAAATGGAAGATGACTTGACCTGCCCAGTATGCCTTGAATTGTTTGCAGACCCCTTAATGCTGCCTTGCTCTCACAGTGTTTGCAAAGCCTGCCTCATGGATATAATGAAATGCCGAACTAAAATAGGAAAACAAGGTAATCTTGCGTTTGATTTTTAAAAGTATCTGTTAAATCTGCTCAAATTATATGCTTGCCATTTGAAAAGATTATTTCAATACATTACTTTTTTCTTGTTTCAGATTTAGAGTGTCCATCATGTAGAGATAACCATAATGTATCATTAGAGAATCTTGAAAGATTTCCCAAAAATTTGGCTTTAGAAAACATTGTCTTTCGTTATCAAGAGATTCTGAGCAACAGACTGAGTAGAGCTGTTAAACTGGACAGTTCAAACAATGATGATTTATCGAAAAATCTATCGCTTTCATCAATGAAAGACCAGGAATCTTTTAAAGATGAAGTTTCAAAGTTTTTGTGTGGTTCGTTAAAATTATATATTATAATTTACATAATTTAAAATTTGTTTCTTGCCATTACTTTTTTGGTTCTATCACATATACTTATGTCTTAAGCATTAGTCCTAACTAAAATTTAAAAAACTATAAATTCATTTAGGTGGTGTTTACTGTGACACTTTTAACCTTCATAAAAATTTCAAATCCAGTTTACACTGTAAATTAAAACTAGCGAAAATGGATTCAATCCAGGAGAGTAAAAGAAATAATATTTAGTCAACATTTGAGACATATTTGGCCTCCAGCTAAAGTTTATTTTCAATGTTTGCACTTAAAGCTATTTCCTGTGCATTTCAATACAAGAAAATTTACAATTGATCAGCATTTTTAAAAAAGCTAAGCAATCATAATTATTTAAAACTTAATATTAACAAAGCAAAATAAAAAAAACCTTTAAGGATATAACAAGAACAAAGTTTCTTTTTCTGTCAATGCATGTTACCCTTTACAAATTGGTTAAATTATACTGTTTGTATTCAGGACTGTGTGATGACTCTAACCAAAAACCAGCTGAATGGTTCTGCCAGCAGTGTGAAGTATTGTATTGTCAGTTGTGTTTAAACACTTTTCATCCTAGACGTGGTTCTCTTACCAATCACAAGGTTATACATCTAGCATACATTTAGTATAATCCAATTAACTTTTTTATTATTTAAGGGGGTAGGCGCCAGTTAAAGAAAAACTTTTTTAATACTCGTTAGAAAACAATTATTTCTTTACAGCCTTTTTAAGGTACATCCACATAGAGTCTATTCCTTTTCATAATTTGAATTTTCAAAATTTCTGTCTGTTAAAAACACTTAATTTTGGGGAAAATCTACATTTTAATGGCACCAAGCTTTTTACTATACGAGCCCTTTTTACTTTCTCGTATACAAAGTAGCCTATAGAGAAAGTTTGTAATTGTGCAAAAAAAAAAAACAACATAGTTTTGCAATCCTGTCCGTATGTCTGTGTGTGTGTCTGTAAACACGATAACTTGAGTACCGTTACAGCTAGGTTGATGAAATTTCATGTATAAGTATAATATCAAATGTGTAGTTCTGTATCAACTTTTCAGTGATTTCCGGAAGTGGAACTTGTTCTGCTTTCAATTTTTCAAAAGCCTATAACTTGAGTACTGTTTCAGATAGACGAATGAAATTTCACATACAAGTAAAAGATCTAGATCTACTTTTCTGCCTTCTGACAAATTTTGAGTAATTTCTATTGACCGAAGTAGTAATTTACGCTATTTCCGATTTCTGAAAAAATGCATGTGAATTTATAAGAGGCCTACTAATAATATTACGCACTATTATACACAAAAAGTTTGGTGTTCACTAGGTGCGCTATTCTTTTTTCTTCGAGATTCTATTCTATTTTTAAAAAGTTTAAGTATGTAAAAACTGACTAAAATTCGTGTCTATATCTTGAGTTGCCATCCCCGAAGTGTTATATAAGAATATTCGATAAAGTTTAGGAGAGATCACTGTAAGGAAATAATTGTTTTCTAATGAGTACTAAAAAAGTTTTTTTTTTTTTACTGGCGCTTACCCCTTAAATCAATTAGTTTGACATCTTTGCACAACCCTTTATATTTATATCCTAGCTTGCCCATCCTAGCACATTGCGGCGGGGGTTAGAAGAAAATTGTACCCTGTTGGGGCTTGGGCGGACGGGATTTATTCAATTTAGTGAACGAATATAATACTACTTCTTATCCATATTCTATCACACTTTTTAAAATGAACTTATGCGCCATAGTGCTCAAGGGATAGCCCTTTACGCCAAATCGCATCCTACCAGGGTGCCCGTTTCAGTTTAGTGAATGACTATAATGCCCCATAGTATCCATAGTTGATTGCACTGTTTAAAACAAACTTAAGTACCATTGACAACATTGATCTCATGGGATAGCCCTGGGCGCCAAATTGCACCCTGCTGGGGCGCCATCCCTGCAATTTCAATTTTTTCCCCACAGAAACTTCCTCAGGAGTACTCTTAACAACTTCCCAAAGTTTCATGGTGATCGGATGAAACGTGTAGTAATGCAGAAATGACAGACAGACAGACACACATACATTGCTTTATATATAAATATATAGATAATCATGTGGTCAGAATACATGCTCAATCCCTTATTTATTTTTATATTAAAACAACTGTAAACCTTATTTAAACCTTATAGGTGCACACATTACTCAGTTATGTTTTATTATATATATATATAAAGTGACAAAATATGATCATGTTGAATTCTTATTTCTTCAGGTTACGATGTTAATCAATTGTTTATTTTAATATTTTAAAATGTATAGATTAAGAGAGCTGATTTGAAAGCAGAAAGTACATTGGACTGCCCTGACCATACTACTGAAAAAATCAGCATATTTTGCAATACATGTAAAGTTGTTGCTTGTCACCTGTGTGTCTGCCAGGGCAGAGGACAGCATGGAAACCATTTGATATTTGATCTTGAAACTGCCAGGAAACAACTTAAGGTCAGTAACAGTGTGCTTAGAATAAGAATTATTGTAAGAATTTAAGCACTAGGCTTAGTAGAGTCAGTATTCTTCTTAAATCCTATGAGGCTTCTGTGGAGCAAAGGGTTGGTCCTACATTTTTTTCAATGCATTTGATTCTAGACTGCTCTCTTCAGCTGGGATCCTGCAAGACCTGTAGTCTTTGTTTCACTGTCTATAAACCTTCTGCCCATTTTCCTTTCTCCCTGCCAGTTACAGTCTAGTGCCCTTGGCAATATTTTCTTCTGTCCTCTCTGTATACCCATTCCATTCTCACTTGCAGGTTTTAATGTCCTTTTCAATGGAGTGCAGCCTTGCACGGGAGGTTCTTTCGGCCATGTTATTTTCTTGTTACATTGCAGGCATTTTTTTGGTTGAGATTCGATTCTGTAACCCTCCAAGTACCTGAGTCATATATCAGTACTGCCTTAACAGTAGCGTTAATCTAATCTTGCTCTAAAAGACAGGACTAAGGAATTCCATAAATGCATATGGAATTCTTCTTTGGAGGTGTCTTCCAATAGTCATTTTGGTTTGGTTTGAGCAGGCTGTAGGGCAGGAGGCAGAGATCATCAGCAAAATCAAGACCTTCCAGGTTGGGTATCCATAAGTGCTCTTGTGCATTTTGGCAATTGGAGGAAATAAAGTTATAGTTTTTATACTTGAAGCTGAAATATTTTGTATTTTTGTTTACTGACATGAAACATTATTTTAACACATCTCCTAGCTTCACTTGTTGACTTGATTTCTCTAAGCCCAGTTGACTAAAAGGAAAACCTTTTTTACTTTGTTAAAATTATTTTCTAGTGAATGAATGCCAAGATTATGCTCTGCCAATTGTCTTTTGTTGAACACTAGTCTTATTCCAGTAATATTGATAGGCTAGGAAGACCATTCTGGAATAAAATAATCTATGTCAAAATTATCCTAAAAAGACTTTATAAACTTGAATCTATTTGTAATCATAATCTTTCATTTCTTTGTCATTTCTGTCTTTCATGATTCACAATGAATTCTTTCTGCAATTATTTTTATGGCTTTCTTTTTTAAAACAACATTTATCTCAGTTACGCCCAACATTTATGACTTTAATTAACCCTGATATTCTAAACATCTCTTAACCATAAAGTTCTGACCTCTGGTCAACTTATTGCTTTTCTACTTTTCTCCAACTCCAATAGTGTCTCAAAGTCTCAATGTATAAAGCTTTATTTATTTAAGTTAAGACATGACTATCAAACAGTTTAAGTTGTGCAAGAAGTATATTTTTTTGAACAAATCCAATATATCTTCACTAATCCACTTATTTTCTTTTATACTTATTATTCAGACATACTAAAAACATTTTTCCTTTAGATCTAGATCTAGATTAGTAGGGTCTCCCAAAAAAACTTTTTTTTTTTTTTTTTCAGGAAACGGTTACAAAATCTAAGGATGATTTATTAAAAATTCTAACTTCTTTTTCTGATAGAGAAGGTGCAGTTACTGCTAATATACAATCCTTAAAGGTAACTTTCGAAAACTTGTTAAGCATAGTCAACTCTAGACCTCTCTCTCTCTCTTTAACTCTTTATTGAATTAAAACCAATCACGTGTGTTGTGATTTCGCAATGTGCAGTTAGCTTTATAATGGGTTAAACTTTTGAATGGGCAACAATGGCTTTCCATGGAAGCCACCATGTTTGTTGTGAAAATAAGGAGATCTAAATAAATCAACTGACGTCACTAAGTCTGTGAAAGTTTTAAATTTTTTTCTAAAAATAAATACTTGTTCTGAACGTTATATTTAATATATTAGCCTAATAAATTATTAGGCATGAAAATTCTTTGTAATCATATTAAATTTTTGAAAAAATATTCTTAAAATATGGCAGCGATAAAATTAGGTAAAACCTTTGTTTAGCGTCGGTTATTATTCCGGAATCGTATAGCAGTAAAAAACAGTAAAACAATGCCAAAGTCTGTCACACACTTCCGGAATTCACCGGAAGTATTGTAAACCATACTTTATTTGGCGTCATCTTTTATTTTTATACAGAATGTTTAAAATTTGGATAGATTTATTTTTGTAATCATTTTTACTTTCTCGTATATACGAAGTATAGAGAAAGTCTTGTAATCGTGCAAAAAAAAAAAAAATCGAGATTTTTACAAATCTCGACGTTTTACACCTCACTGATACGGAAAAACATAATTTTGCAATCTTGTCCGTGTGTCTGTGTGTCTGTCTGTGTGTCTGTCTGTCTGTCCGTGTGTAAACACGATAACTTGAGTACCGTTACAGCTAGGTTGATGAAATTTCATATATAAGTATTTTATCAAAATCGTAGATCCGTATCAACTTTTGAGCGATTTCCGATAACCGGAAGTGGTACTTTTCCTACTTTGAATTTTTCAAAAGCCTATAACTTGAGTACTATTTCAGATAGATAAATTAAATTTCACATGTAAGTAAAAGATCTAATTCTCTACCTTTTGTTAAATTTTGAGTAATTTCCGTTGACCGGAAGTAGTAATTTACGCTACTTCCGATTTCTCAAAAAACTAATGTAAATTATTAAAAGTACTAATAATATTGCGCACTATTATGCGCTTTTTTATTTGGCGTTCACTTGGTGTGCAATTAATTTGTCTAAGAGATTTTATTCTATTCTTATTTAAATCTACTATTATATTTATTCTTGTTTCCTTTTGTCGATTAAACTTAAAAAATTAAAACATTAATTTACTACAATCGACTTTCAATTGATTTATATTTCAATGGTCAAATAAACCATGGTTTACCGTAACTCTAGTTACCGAAACTCAACAAACATTACCCGATAATTTCCGACGCTAAACTAAGGTTTTACCTAAAATTATAGTTACATTTGTATAAAAGTCAAAGCTGTTTGGTAGATCTAACCATCCATTAGACTCTTTTTACATTTTTGTATTGAATATAAACTGTTGAAAAGCCGTTTAGATTTTTTTAATAAATTAAATATTTTCAAAAACTGTCCTCAACCTATCCTTGAAGTCAACCGGAATGGTCAGGGAGAGTAAAACAATAAAAGTATGAACACTTGTTTTCTATAATAAAAATACACAATAGTGTGACAATAGTGATCTGTGGTGAATAGTGTAGTATTGTATTTATAATAAATAATACAACATCCCCAATCACCACAACACCCTGACTCTACTAATCCTTCTTCTTCTTCTTCGTTCTTAATTATTAGTGTTCAAGGGTATCGAGATTTATCTGCCAGTGGGTTTGAACTCGAGACTTTGTTCGAATTTATCAACCATGAGCTTTTTGCCGACTCGACCACGCCTCCTACACAATTAAGCGTTACGTGTCAACCGGTTATGCGCCATTGAGGCCATTGACTCCGATTTCAGCCTGCTTTTCTTTTTGGATTTGCTTCCATAGCCTTTGTCCAACCAAGAACAAACTTCTACTAATCCAAATTAAACATAAAAGTGTGAGCAAAATAACTTATATTACTAGTAATTATTTCTTTTACTATTTCTAACCATCATAAAACCGGAAGTCATTTTGTACTTATTACACAAATGTTATAAAATATTCAATTTTGGTTGAAAAATGTGCTTTCTGGCAAAAAAAATGGAATTATTTGGAACCAGCTTTTCTAGTCTATTAACGGTGTGTTTCTACAAATGACTTAAGTAAATTGTGCTTAACTGTTTGGAAAAAATAACATTATTCTATACATAAATACGAAATTTACAGTTCTACACATAATGCAGATGCCCCCATCTAACTGAACAGACAAACAAACAAAAGACATACAAACTTCTCGCTGTAGTAGTCAGTGGCGTTGCGAGGTCGAGTGTCACCCGGTGCGGCACTTAATGGTGTCACCCCCAGAGGCGTAACGACCCTTCCCGGGGACTAACTTTCGATTTGCAACCCCCCCCCCCCCCCTCAAACTTTCTATTTGCACCTCTTAAAAGACTATTTTGCCATTTTTTGCCTTGGTGTCACCTCCTAAATGGTGTCACCCGGTGCGGTCCGCACCCCCGCTCCCCCTCACTAAGCCCCTGGTAGTAGTATATAGATAGATATGCAAAGACACAACCATATCAACAACCATGCAGGACAATATAAGACTCTTAGACGACCAGCATGGTTGTATATTAATAATCATTTAAATTTGCTTCTTAATACTGTATTCCATGTTGTTTCAATAACATGTTATTCATGTGATACGATTAATACCAAGTAATTTTGACAGTATCCCATTAATATAAGAAACTAAAAATATAACTACAACAACTAAAAATGCATTAAAATGTTTTAATAACAAGCTTTAATTTAATAATGCACTAAAAAGGCGAAACTAAATAATTTTCTAAAAATATATAATACTGAACAACTATTTAGACCTGAAAAGAAAAACTATTAAGGTAATACTTTTTCTCAGACATTTTTATAACAGAAGCTATAGCATTTTAAACTAAGATCTATTTAAAATATTTATATTTTGATTAAAAAATAAGCCAATTTTTTTAATATGACTTGCTTACCTGTCCTGCAGGTTACTGCGGTCACAGAAGAACTGACACAAAATATTAAGAGGATTTCATCACTGCATTAACAATCCTGTGTTGTTAGATTCATGACCAAAAGAGATACAGTAACGATATTGTTTGCATTTAAATAATTTATTTCTAGAAAACGAGGCCACTAGTCTAAAAATACATTTACTTACTTACATAATCCTTGTCACTCCCTGTGGAGTAGAGGGCAACAACAAATCTTTGGCCATTCCACTCTGTCTTGGGCGAAACACTTTAATTCGTGCCAGGTCTTGCCAGTAGCCTGCACGTCTTCCATCTCTCTCCTCAATGTTCCGAGTGGTCTACCTCTCTTTCGTTTTCCAGGTGGAGTCCATTTTAGAGCTATGTTCGGAGGTCTGCTTCTGTTCATGCAAAGGACATGACCCAGCCATTTCCATCTCATCATTCGTATTTCTGAAACAATGTCGTTTAAGCCTGTCCTTTGTCGTATTTCCTTGTTTGGAACTTTGTCGTCCCACTTTATCCTGAGGATATGTTGGAGAGATCTTCTTTCAAAGCCTCAGAGGCGGCTCTCTGCTTTCTTGTTTATTTTCCATGACTCTGCGGCATAGATGAGTGCAGAACGTACATTAGACTTGTAAATACTTATTTTGGTTCTCTGCTGCCATTGCTATTGTGGTTGCTATTTCTTTCTCGATACTGCCATTTGCTGAGATCTAGCTGCTGAAGTACTTAAAGTCTTCGACCTCTTCTAACTCTGCTCCATTAGCAAAGGTCTTGAGAGCACTTTTAGTTTTTACCTTCATCAGCCTGGTTTTCCCGGAGTTATCTTTAGCCCAAAGCTTTTAGCAATTTGCTTTATTTTTGTGGTTTATTCTCGGATATCTTTTTGGGCATGTGAGAGTACAGCCAGTCTTCCAAGTGGTTGGTAAGTTCCCAAACAATTCCTCTTGGCTTATCCTCAGTGGCTCTTCTCATAATCCAGTCTATTACCACCAAAAAGATGACACAGCCCTGCCTAACTTCAGTTTTTACCTTGAAATATTCACTTTGCTGATATTCATGTCTCACACAGCATTCAATTTGGTTGTCAGAGCACATCTCCTTGAGAATGTTTGTGACTTTTCCTTGAAAGCCATATAGCTCTAGTATCTTCCATAGTGATGGATGGTCTATACTATCAAATGCCTTTTCAAAATATATGTAGTTGATGTAGAGAAACGAGTTCCATTCCAGGGGCTGTTCCACTATAGTGCGCAAGACAAATATTTGGTCATTACATGACCTGGTGGCCTTGAAGCCAGCTTGCTCTTCACAAAAGATTCCATCGATTCCTTTCCTCATTCTTTGTAATTCTTTGTAATAAATCTGCAGAAGATTTTTCCTGGCACTGACAGAAGGTTAATGTCTTTCCAGTTCTCACAAACATTAAGGTCGGCCTTTTTGGGTAATTTGATAATGATTCCCCGTTTCTATGAGTCTGGCACTTTTTACAAGCTTTTATTACAAGCTTTTATTTAACTCACTTCCTCGTCAGTCTGTCGTCAGTCTGTCTAGATCGAAACGCCCGAGCGAAATTGCAGGCACTTATAACTGACAGATACGGTTCGTCGTTGGTACGTGGGTCAAGACATAAAGACAATGCAACATGACATTAAATTTGACTTAGTTGGTTGCCGGATTTATTTTTTATGAATTAATTAAAATTTTGTCCAAATTAGCAGACTTTCTCATCAAACTATTCCGCGCGATTTGACACGCGGCATCACGTTAAATAGGGCGTCATCACGTTCAATAGGTGCGCAATGGTTTTTAGTCATGTAACTCTATTGTCAATAAAACATGTAAAGTACTAAAAAAAATTCATAAAAAACGTTTTAATAACAAGCTTTTATGTAATAATGCACTAAAAAGGAGAAAATAAATTATGGACTACTATTTAAATAACTATAAAGAAAAGCGTGGGTCTCTTCCTAAATGTTAGTAAAGGTATCCATTAGATACTAAAGTGACCCACGCTTTTCTTCATAGTTATTTAAATAGTAGTTCATAATTTATTTTCTCATTTTTAGTGCATCATTACATAAAAGCTTGATATTAAAATGTTTTTATGAAATTTTTTTCTTCATTTCATACTCTATTGAAGATTCCTGATAGATTTTTGCACCTATTTTTTGTGTCTGCCTTTAGCATCACCGCAGTGATTCTGTCCTAACCTGGAGCCTTATTGCTGTTTGTTTTTTGGAATAGCTTATATCTTGTTCTGAGATGGGCCCTCTAGACATTTCAAAGTGTAGGTTTATGTCAGTGAAGTTAGCAGTTTCTTCTGGGTCTGGTCTGTTCAGGGTCTCTTCAAAGTATTCTGCCCATCTTTTCAGTTGCTTTTTCTCTGTTGTGAGAATTCTCCCATTTTTGTCCTTGATAGTAGATGATCTTTTTGCTATTCCGCCTGTAAGAGTCTTGATGATCTTGTGTAGACAGTTCAGCTAGTTTCCCCTTTCAGCTGCAGCCGGTGTTTCTGTGGCCATGTTGTTTACATAGTCTCTCTTATCCTTCCTAGTATTCCTTTTTACCTCTTTAGGTAGTCTTCTATATTCTTCATCGTTCAGTGCCCTGCTTTCTATGGTTCCAGATATTGTTTTTAATTTGGCTTCTCTTTTCAATGAGATTGCAAGTATCATTTGAGATCCACTCCTTCCTTTGTTTCTTCTTATGTCCTAGTATACATTTGGCTTGTTTCCGTGTATACATCCAGGATCTTCTTGCATTGTGTATTGGTGTCCTCTTCTAATAAGTCCTCGAGTAGACTTAATCTATTTTTTAGTTTCAAGGGCGAAGTTTGTCTGCATTGTTGGATCTATTAGTTTACCTTAGTCAAATAGGTGGCGGTTAACTTTCCTGTCAACTCTCCTAAGCTTGAGTTGTAGCTTGCTTAAAACTAGTTTATGGTCGCTAACTGCGTCAGCACCTCTTATTGCCTTTACATCCCTCATGGATCTCCTCCACTGTTTATTAATAGCAATGTGATCGATTTGATGCTGGTTCGTTTATATATCTACCTTATATTTATCTATCTTCGCATTGATGTCTCCCATGACTATTAGAATGTCATGTTGTGGGGTCCTGTCGATTTGGTCTTGTAGAGTGTAGTAGAACGTGTCTTTGTCTTCGTCTTTTGCATGTTCTGTTGGGGCATAGTGCTGTATTATGGTAATCTTTAAGTGTTTTGAGTAGAAAAATACATTTAGTTATACACAAATAAGACACTTGTAAAAAATAGTGTCCTTTTTTGGCGAGTAGAACCAGATTTAAAAGTTTCAATACAAATGACACTGAATATTATTATGACAACTATCTTGAATTTCCTATGTTCGGAGATAGAAGCAATGAGCGACAGTTACCTTGTATCTATTTATATATTTGTATAGCTATCTATCTGTCTGACTGTCTGTCTGTCTGTCTACCTTCTTCCACACACACACACACATACATAAAGCATTTGTATTTCCACAGGCCCTTGAAGAATCTGCCAGAGATTGTGTTTCTAGTCAATACAATTGCTTTTTATCTGATATAGAAGCCATACTCAGTGTAGCTAAGGATAAGACAATTAAGTCTATCATAGAAAATACAAGTCATCATTTACTGCGCTTTAACACAAGTAAACAAGATATAAAAACTGTTTTAACGCAATGTCAAGACTTGGATGAACTTTGTGAAAATATTATATTTCAAGAAAAAATAAATAAAGACAACTTTACATTCTCATTTTCTGACCATATCCCATTATCCACCACTAGAACAGGACTTAACACCAACATTTCTACAAAAGAAGATTCTTCAAATTCAGCTGTATTTTTTGAGCAGCCCAATATAATACAATCTGCTATTAACTCAAAAAACACACGTTCACAACTGTCAACAGAGCTTAATGAAAAGAATAAAATGAAAGCAATGGTACAGATAGATTTGTTTAAACAAGTTGACCTAAAACAAAGAGCATCATTTGCATCTGGTTATTCAGGTTATGGGTGTCAATTAGAAAAGAAGCTAGTTTCTGAGGGAATAATAAAGGATCAACATTCTTCAGGATCAATGGAAACTGAGAAAGTTGAGTATGAAAATGTATTATTTGGCAAAGATGATAAAACCAACCTTTTGTTGGTTACAAAAAAATGTGTTGCTGACTTTAAAAATTCGGAGAGGAAGTTATCAAGAGAAACTACAAAAATAAACAATTTAGCTGAAGCAAAGCAAAGTTTGCAAGAATTAAATGCTACTAAAGAAATACAAAATGAAAAGAATAAAGACATATTACTTAGGGCTGATGAAATAACACCTGTTGTGGAACAAGTAGCTGCTTTATCAAAATTGTAAGTTTATATACTTATCTATTTATTACTCTGACTCTGCAGGGGGCTCTTGCCAGAATCTATTTATATAAAACTGAATGTATTTGTGTTTGTTTGTCTTTTATGCATTACCACACCTTTCATCCGATCGCCATGAAACTTAGGGAAGTTGAGCTCCTGGGGAGGTTTCTGCGGAAAAAAAATTATATTTCGCACGGGCGTCGCCCGAGCTTTTCCGTGAGCGCTATTGCGCATACGTTCGTTTTATTAAACAGTGCGATAGGTCAGGGGCGGAACTACAGTGCCGCCAGATCCCGCAATGCGGGAGGAGGGGGGGGGGCACGCTATTTAGGGGCCTACAGCCGACCATAATAAAAAAATTTCATAGTAAATTTTTTAAAATTTTCTTGCATTTTTAACTTGATGGTTGTTTTGTAAAAAAAAACTCTAGCTGGGGTTGGATTATCTTTATTCTATATACACAATCCCACGTTCTTATATATTTTTTCCTTTGTTTTTAAACCATTGTAAAAGACGAGTCCTCTTTCACCTACAATCAAACACTGTTGTCTGCAAAAAATTTAAAAAAAAAGTCTATTACGCGAGAGGCAAAAGTAGTTGAGACCATCCCAACTTCGATACTGATGGATAGAAGCACATCGGCGCTTTGTGGTCCCTTTTAAGTTCCTTAAAAAAAACAAAAAATTTTTTTTTCCAAAACCCGATCAGGCCAGAAATGAGTATCCTATGTTCGTATTTTCTGTTTATATATATATATATATATATATATATATATATATATATATATATATATATATATATATATATATATATATATATAGACCTATATAAAGGGGGGGGACCTAAAAAAAATTTCGCGGGGTGGCCCTTTGTTCCAGTTTCGGCACTGGCCTACGTAGTTGTATTTAATAAGCAAGTGTATTTTGGTGTAGCCCTACCATATCGCAATAATTGTAGAACCAGCTAAGTATAAATACATATTTATAACATAAAGATATATCGACTGGGCATTCTAAATAAATGTTCTTACTTTTATATGTACTACTGGTTCTAGAGACTAATAATTATTTCAACAATTTTTTTTCTTTATGTGACCCTCGCATTGTTCCACAATTGGGCCGCATATAACTTAGTCACAGACACAAAGACTGTTTACCTGTTAAGAACTATGGTTATTCTTTATTTCTATGTACCCAGATCCACTGTGGGTGTCATAATTTATTTTTTGTAATTTTTTTTAAAAAGACGCATTTTTGAAAGATTGTGAGCCCCTCCACCCTTCTGATCAAACGTGAGTTTCAAACGTACTTGTTATAGGCATACATGTTACTTAAATTCAAAGAAGCGTTCTCCCCCTACATTTTGATACACGTATCAAGTATGCTCTTTCGTCAGACATTTTTGGCGATGTTTAAAAAATGTACAAAATTTGTGGTTTTTTTTACTTACCTTTTTAATTTTATCAAAAAAGTCAGAAAAGCAATCTGTGTGTAAACACGATAACTTGAGTACCGTTAGAGCTAGGTTGATGAAATTTCATATATAAGTATTTTATCAAAATCGTAGATCCTGATCAACTTTTGAGCGATTTCTGATAACCGGAAGTGGTGCTTTTCCTACTTTGAATTTTTAAAAAGCCTATAATTTGAATACTATTTCAGATAGATAAATTAAATTTCACATGTAAGTAAAATATCTAATTCTCTACCTTCTGTCAAATTTTGAGTAATTTCCGTTGACCGGAAGTAGTAATTTACGCTATTTCCGATTTCTCAAAAAAACGCATGTAGATTTATAAAGTACTCATAATATTGCGCACTATTATGCACATTTTATTAGGCGTTCACTTGGTGTGCAATTCTTTTTTTTTACGAGATTCCATTCTATTATAAAAAGTTAAAGTAATTAAAAATGGATTACAAATAGTGTCTATGTTCTGAGTTGCCATCCCTCGTAGTTTTATATTAGAATATTCGAGAAAGTTTAGGGGAGATCACTCCCGGTTTATTTTAATTAGCGTGAGTTGAATTTATTTCTAAATTACTTCCCCTGGTATTAAGGATTTTAATTAATTAGTTTTTTCGACCCTACTGTTATTAAAATGTATCCACGTTTTCTAGTAATCTAAACGAAAATTATATTTGACATTGATCCGTTTAAGATGTTCTAGCAATGTGCGTGTATTTAATATTTTCTTCACGTTATGCGAAAGAATAAAAAGTGTGGCAACTATAAAATAAATTTAAGTCGTTATATAAACAAACCCTCTTTATTACTTATAATAAAACAATGCGAATGCGATGAAATGTAAAAGCACTGCATGGTGCGATGTTTACTTATATGGTTCCAAAATCTATAGCGACGACGGAACGACCACTACCAGCAGCGTTATATTAAAGATATATAACACATTTATGTTTAGATATTGCTCCAAATCACTACCTATCTTATTTACTACTATTTACATTATCACAATTTAAGGCAGATTGTGTTATTTTCTCAGAATTGAATACCACCACTCTTTTGATGTCGATGACGCAAAGATGATGAAAGAATATGCAACAAATATAAAAGAATCTATATCTGATTTTCATTCAACATCTTTAAAGCTTATCTCCTCCCTTGCTGGTTGGTGAATGTTTATATTTAAACACTACAGTTAATATTTTACGTTTAATTTATTTGATTTAAATTTACACTTCCTAAAATTTTTTGTAAAGCTCACTTGTTATGAATTGTGAAATATCTAAACAACTTTTTTGTTGCACCTCTATTTATATACTCGAATAATGTATTTGCAATATTTTTTTCTTTTTTTTACTAGTAGACACTTCTCCATTAGACAGTCCCAAAATAATCCCAGCAGTGCGCTCAGTTGTATCTCCACCAAACATGAACCAAGCAAGTAGTATTCCAAGAGTGCTAAGTAGAATATTAATCACCTGGGGATTCAATTCAACAACATTTACAGCAGATCCTATTGAAAACTCTGCTCAGTGGACTGTAAATATCATTAAAAACTCAAGCCATATAGGAGATATAAAGTCTGGATATTTGTTTGGTGTGGGAGTTTCTACTAAACCACTTGTTTCAAAGGAACAGGTATCGTAATTTATTCTTCTACAACTCACAAGAGTTTCAAAGTTTGTTCATTTAAGGGGCCAGATTAATATTGAGGATAAATTTCTAATACTTAATTGGATGTACATCTATATGTATTAAATTTAAATTGAAGACCATAAAATAATGCAAGGATTGTATAAAAAATATCAAAATTATCCAGATTATGCGTACTACTTTCCTTTACTTAGTTTTGAAGCTCAGTACTGGCTGGACATGACTGTATCATTCATTATTTATGTGAATGTTATTAAAAATGAAATCCATTTTTCACCTTAACATTCACCTTAGATAAAATAGGAGGACTAAAATGAATTTTTATTTTCGAGCAGTTAACTATTTACTTTCATCCTAAATTATACATTAAAAACACTCATATAAAATTTAACTCAAAACTTATTATCTTGACGGATGTAAAGTATACTACTATGGAACATCGAAGCACGAATTTAACTTGTACCATAACCTTGCTTCAAAGAAAATGTTTGCATCTCAAAGTTATTTTCTTTTTTAACATGTGTAGCTTTATATATATATATATATATATATATATATATATATATATATATATATATATATATATATATATATATATATATATATATATATATATATATATATATATATATATATATATATATATATATATATATATATATGTGTGTGTGTGTGTGTGTGTATCAGGGACGTAGAGGGCCGCTCTCGGGAGTCCCCCGATTACATTACCGAAGAGGGGGCCGCGTACGGCCCCTGGCTCCTTAAAGCTAACATAGGCGCCATATTGCTCACAGGGTAACCCAGAGCGCCACATAGCATCCTGAAACAGTGATGCAGATTGCGTCATTCGCTTAAGTTAACAAATGAACAGGGTTTTTTCTTTAACACGTACAAAAAAACATTTGAGGTGTAAAACATCAGTTTGACTGATGTAATTTGTTACTATTAATAGATGCTCGATCTCAATTTCTGCTTGGATGGTCTAAAAATAGATGCTAATTGCATCATTCGCAAAGTGACGAAACTAGTTGGATTTTTCTACGGACAAAAGGAAACAACCCAGTTAATAATCTATATAATTTATATGATTATTTTAAAAAAATGTATTATTTGTCCCTCAGCGGCCCATGTGAGTCTTTGCGGGCCGAAACTGAAATATTTGTTCGCAGTCAAATCACACCCTACCATGGCGCCGGCTGACACGCCGGATTCAATTTAGTGAGCGGCTGTGACGCATAATCTTATCCATATTCTATCACACTGTTTAGAACAAACGTAGTCACCATAGCGCTAACGGGAAAGACCAGCGCGCCAAATCGCATCCTGATGGGGGCGGCCAGTGCGAAATCTATATACTACTAAAAGTCAAGTTTGTTTACATGTTTGAATATTTATTTGTTTTTTTTTTGTTTGTTTGTTTGTTTGGCTGATTGACTATTGCGCATGGTTGCACTCATCGCGGAGAGCTGTAAAATAGTATGTAGGTAGAGAAAAAAATTTGTTTTAAGACAGACTGTTAATCACACATTTATTTAAAGACGTTAATTAATTTATTGATTTATTCATACGTAGAGTAACCCTATTTTTTTAAAAAGTTTAGAACGACCACTACACTCGGCGGGACCGTGACGTCACAGTTTTTTGTTAACTCTTTAGTACAATAAAATGGCGGCGTCTATCGAAGAAAATTGTGTTCAAAAGTTTAACGCGTTCTAAATCTAATTTTCTGTCGGTCATAACTTTAACAATACGTCCGTTTGCTGTATTTATTACGTTCCAACACTTATATCAATTTTCAACTGTCTTTTTTCATTTAGTTTTACAAAAAATTTCTCTAGATCTAAAGATCAGCTGTCGAAGGAAAGTTATGAATCTAGCCTAGATCTAGATCTAGCCTAGATCTAGGTCACTAGACTCAATGTAAATTCTAGATCTAGACTTAATGTAAATTCTACATCTAGAATCTGTTTCAGGCCTTAATACATCTAGAATCTATTTCAGGCCTTAATTATTTTATATAAATCTTTCTTTGGCTAATTTAAGATAAAATTTAATTTGAAAGTTACTACTACTAGACTTAGATCTAGATCTATGCGCGTAAATCAAGTTGCATAAGGAGACTCAAAGTATAGTATAAAAATTCATTTGTGACGTCACGAGTAAATAGCTAAGTTGGTAGTGTGGGCGGCTCTCATGCGGGTGGCACAGGTTCTAGACCAATATGTCAATGATATTTTTTTTTCAATTTTTTTTTTAGATATGAATGATAAAGTTGCCTATCTGAACTTGGCAGGATACAGGGCAGGTGAAGTAGAGTTCATCTGTTTCTTTGTCCTAAGCATATGAAAGGATAGTGTGGTCAGAGACATGCTCGATTGGAATCGTTTTTTAAACGATAAAAACATGTTGTCTGAGACTTGGCGGGACACTGGGCAGGTGAAGTAGAGTTGAGTAGGTCACATGTGACGTCAGTATATGAAGGGATAGTCCGAAATCGGTGTTTTCGGTGTTTTGAAAAGATAAAAAACATATTTTTGAATGTGGGGTCTGTTTTTTTGTGACGATAAGTGACACTGCAGTAGCGTAGCGAGGAGGGGGGGGGGCGGGGGGGGGGGGAGGGGGAGGTGGCGGGGGGGGGGGGCATATGTTGGGGCGCCAAAATGGTTTGGAAAAATAAATTGAAAGGTTGAGGGGGGTTCAAATCGAAAGTTTGAGTGGGGGGGGTTGAAAATCGAAATCTTGGGGGAGGGGTGGTGGGGGGGGGGGTTCAAATCGAAAAGTTTGTCCCCGGGCGCCGGGAAGGGTCGCTATGCCTCTGAGTGACAGACGTGATGTTTTTTGATGGATGACCCCCGAAACCCACAGTTATCCAACGGATGACGGGTATTCTAGTATAATCCTAAAGTTTTATTGCTCTCTGATAAAAGGTGTCGAACCGCATCCGACTTTCATTTTTTTTAATTTATCGTATATAGAGAAGAATCGCATCCTTCCGAGGCACCGCCCTTGCGAAATTAAAAATATTTTTTTTACAGAAAAATAAACTGGAGTGTTGTAATCAACTCCCCAAGTTTGATGGCGATCGGATGAACGGTGTCAAACCGCAATCGACTTTTATTTTTATATAACGTATATAGAGGAAAAACAAATCGCGCCCTGCCGGAACGCCACCCCTGTGAATTTGAAATATTTTTTTCCGCAGAAACATACCCAGGTATATTCTGAACAACTTCCTAAAGTTTCATGGCGATCGGATGAATGGTGTAGAAATGCATAAAAGACATACACAGACATACATTGCTTTTTATGGTGCCCTGTCAAAACGGCCCGGGATAAATCGGCCCCGTTAATATGACCCCGTCAAATCGACCCCCGACAAAACGACCCAGTCAAAATAGACATATTGGCTTCCGACAAAATGACTCCCGACATATTGGCTCCAGACAAATGAATGGCACGACCACTATTGGCATAAAAGTAACCATTTTGTCCTACCTCCACTACTACTATAACCTCTTTAATGCCTGAATGAAATTGTTTTTCATGAACCAACGTCAATTCACAAACAAATCAAGCCGTTAACAGCTAAAATCTACCAATTCTAAAATTTTGATAAAGATCTGTTGCATAAAAGCGAAGATGATATACATGATATTTACAGGATAACGACATTTTGTTTTGATAACCTACAAACATACTGGAGGTAGGAAGGTATAGCTCGAACCCTTCTCCCCACACACTGAGTTGGAACAGCCTATAACCGACTCAATTATGGAAGTCATAGATAGATGACCCTTCAATTAAAACATACTATAATTTATAATAGATAAACTAATATAAAAATAAGGCCTGCCGAACAAGAGATGCATACGTTGTATTACTTAAGAGTGTTGGATAAGCGAACTCTAAAGAATATTGATGAAGGGGTCCCACTGGCAGGTGTCATATTCAATGAGACCGCTTTGCCGGGAGACTTAGTCTCTACAGAAACGGTATTGTCAGTGGTCCTTTTGTCTGGAGCCAAATTGACAGGAGCCTTTTTGTCGTGAGCCAAATTTACGCTAGCCTATTTGTCGAGGGGCCGTTTTGGGGAGAAACTAAATGGCGGGAGCCTATTTGTCGGGAGTAGAAATGACGGGGCCGTTTTGTGGAAAAAACTAAATGACGGGAGCCAAAATGACGGGAGCCTATTTGTCAGGAGCCTTATTGACTGGAGCCCTTTTGTCGAGAGCCTATATAACAGGAGCCTATTTGTCGGGAGCCTGAATGACGGGAGCCTATTTATCGGGAGCCTTTATGACGGGTCCATATGTCGCTGGCCTTTTTGACGGGGTCAATTTGACGGGGCTCTTATGTTGGGGTCGTTTTGACGGGGCCGTTTTGTCATTGGTCGTTTTGACGCCGCACGGCTTTTTATAGATAGATTTTTATATATATAGATAGATTTAGGAAGATATATACTAGCCGTCCCTGTAAAGGTCCGTGACGTCTGTGTTTATTAAGCAGCATATACCCGGTATTGACGGGGTTTAGGAAATATATTTGTAACTAGTGTAGTTACAAAAACAACGTAATAGTGTCCAACAAGGCAAGATAATTGCCAGAACTGATCTGAGTTATTTATAATTATTATGAAACTGTTGTGACGTAACAGGTGTTACTAAAATAGAATATGACTTGAAAACTTGAAGACAAATGGACAAGAGCTATTAATAGAGACTATGCAATAGATGGTACCGAGATAGAATAGTTTGACATTGTTGACAACACCGGATGTACATCTATGTGTGACTGTAGTATATAAGCAGTGATACTTTTCGGTAGGGAGAGACAGAAGATGTATGCAGAAGCGAGAGAGTAGATGGAACCATCGAAGGCAGAAAGGTCGAGAGATGGAGAATGGATTGTATGCAGAGACCAGTGTTAGTAGAGTGAAATCAGTTTCTTCCGCCCCCCCCCCCCCCCCGAACGAAATGAAATTTATATAGAAAATATATACTTTTAACAGTGTCCGCCCCCACCCCAGAAGAAAGTCTACCGCCCCCCCCCCCCCCCGAAAATTTCAAGTGGCCCCCCCCCCCGTAGAAAAAAGTCAGGAAGAAACACTGAGTGAGATGCAGAGTGATATAGTGTGTGGGCCTGTGACATTGGAGGTCTGTTGAGATTCACCTAATTATCTGAACTGATTATTCATGAAGGAATAAAGTGTTAGAGTATTGAACCTGCGGGCAGAGTGTGCTTCTTTATAATCAGGTGGGTGGATCGGTGTCAAATGAGGCGGCCGCGACCTAGATGCGGGAATTCATAAGTCGCGGTCGAATACCTACAGACAGGAGGTTGTACACGCCTCTGTCGCATTTGGGTGCCTTGAGGAAGGTGTCGCACGAGACCTAACTTGGTCGCATATTACTTTTCCAATTGATTGTCTATATGCAAATAAGGACATTTGAGAAAATAACACATAACCCTAAACCTAACTAACTCTAAACGTAACCACAACCAACGCAAATACAAAAGCAAACACAAACGCAGACACAAACACTAAAACAAACGCAATCACATTTTTTATCACAATAGCAAACACACACACACATACAAACGCAAACAATAACGCAAATGGAAACATTAACGTAGATGACATTTATGAACGGCTTCCAAAACTCTTACTGATCAAAAATAATAATTAGCAAACCGCACATTCAGTTTAGAAAATAAATAAAAGGTAGTACTTAAAATACCCGTATTTTACCTACCACACGGCACTTTATCAATCCATACTAATTAGATAATTGTTTTTTTTTTCAACATAAAAAAAACAACTAAAAAAAGAAAAAGTAAAAAATTTGTTCTCTTTTGTTCTTGGTAAGTAATTAATACGAAGAGATGTAGTTTGTATACTTTTTTTCAAACAAAATTGGAATTTATGTAAACGGGCAACACATTTAGTTATATTTTGTTTACTGCACATTACGTCAATCAAAATGATAAGTAGTAAAATGAAAATTTAGTTTGAAATTAATCAATATTGAGTTTTAAAAAAATCATCAATTTAGATCTTAGTACTAAAATGAACACTTAAAAAATATTACACAATGACGATCAAGGAGTTTTTTGTTTATTATATGCATGTCTTTCACGAATATAGCCTACATACAGAGGCACTGAGTCCATTTCTTCTTTATAAATTTGATATATATATATAATATGTATATTATAGAAATGTATATTAACTAATTTTAGTGTCTTTGTATAATTTATAATTATACTTTACTCCATTAATAATCAAAGTTGGGTAGACTTGTAGACATAAGGATGTCTTACGGGTTTGAAACTGGGATCCGTGCTCGAAACTTGCAAGTTACCAGTCGAACAGAAAATGACTAACATTGTTAAATTTTTTTTAAATGAGAATGTTAAGAAATAAACTGGTTTTTTTTAAGTATAATTTACCTCGGAAAACAGCCTACTTGAAATTTTATTCAAAATGTGTTAATTTAAAGCCTGTGTTAAAATAACAGATAAAAGTCATTGTATAAGAATTTATAAAATAAAAAGCCCATACAATAAATAACAGGAAATATGAATAAGTATGTTTAAGTGTGTATTGAGAACACTCAATTTTGTGGGCGCCCATACCGGTTAGTCCAGGGATCGGCAACCTGCGGCTCGCGATCGCATACAGCTCTCTTGATGCGGCTCTTCGGCTCCATGCACATATATTAATAATTATTTTATTTTATTTTCAAAACTCATAAAAATATTGTGTTGCAACACTCGGTAATAAATTATATAATCATAAACATAAACAATAAACACTCGTTATTCTATTAGAATATTTAGGTACTCCCTATTTTCAATGTAGGCCTACTTCCTATTAAACTGTTCATCCCGAATTGAAACATTCAACTTCATGGCGGATATCACAAAGAAACTAAACCAGCTAAATGTAAAACTGCAAGGAAATGAAAACTTAGCCTGTGCCTGTGCCTTGCTTGAGGTTGATGTTTCGAGAAAAAAATTACTTTTTTTGTTAAAGACACGGAGAGCGGTAAATTACTTGATTTAAAAAAAAATCTGAAAAAATTTATCTAGAAACCAATGCAACTATTATCATGAACTGGACAGCTGTAAAAGAAATATCGCGAGTTAAGACACTCATACGTGACGCATGGAATAGATTTGCAGGATGGTACAGTAACGTGGAGAAGTTGACATCTGGAGTGCTGACGATCTTTAGGTCAACATATTCGTGCTAGCAAGAGATTTCTTACAAGTCTTACATGAATATAATAAAAAGTTAAGTAAGAAGCCAACAACTAATAAAAATCTAGAGGCGTGCTTGAAACCTCCTGAAACAAGAAGTTATGAGCCAGATTTAACCAAATTTTCAACCGGCATGCAAGGTCAATGCTCCCATTGATGTAACTAATGTAAATATTCAATGATTAGTTATATTTTATGATTAGTAATTTAAAATACTATAATATGTTTTGTGCGAAACGTGTATTTTTTTAAAATTATGAATAACTATTATTTTATATTTAAAGCTATATATATATATATATATATATATATATATATATATATATATATATAGTCCTATATATTGAAAAAAAATGTAAGTGGCTCTTTAAAAACTGGTAAATTTTGTAAATTGCATCTTTTGGCTCTTCCGTCTAAAAAGGTTGCCGACCACTGGGTTAGTCTAAAGTTTAGTTAGTGTTTGTTTTTAATGATTATTATTATTCAAATACATACAGCTTCCAATTACCTGATTTGCTTTTTTTTTTACAGGTGGGAATGAATGCCGACTCTCTTGCCGTTGTCTGTGTTGATGGAACTATAGCAGTTTGTCAAAACAGTAAATTAAGTCCTATCATACCTTTAAATGACCTGCCTTTATCTGTAACTATTTCTGTGGATAAAACTCAAATAGGCTTGTTTATGACTTATAAAATTGTTCAAAGCAGTTTAGTTATTGCAGTCTGTGGTAAAAGAATTCTAATCCTTACTAATGAATACAGCTCTGCTGGAGCATTTCCAGATTTGTGTATCAAATCCTTTCCTGTATTTACTGTTAGCCAGAGGGTAAAAATGCAGTTTCCATTAACATCTGATGTCTAAATGTAAATACTTTAGATAATGTACATACATGTACTTTTAAGGCAAAAACAGTTTTCTCAAGTTTTGTAAAAAAAAATTCATAAAAAACGTTTTAATAACAAGCTTTTATGTAATGATGCACTAAAAATAGTAAAAAGTAGAAAATAAATTATAGACTACTATTTAAATAACTATAAAGAAAAGCGTGGGTCACTTTAGTATCTATTGGATACCTTTACTAATGTTAAGGAAGACACCCACGCTTTTCTTTATAGTTATTTAAATAGTAGTCTATAATTTATTTTCTACTTTTTAGTGCATCATTACATAAAAGCTTGTTATTAAAACGTTTTTTATGATTTTTTTTTCAGTACTTTACATGTTTTATTTACAATAGAGTTACATGACTAAAAACCATTGCGCGCCTACTGAACATCACGTTCAGTAGGCGGGCAATGGTTTTTGAACGCAGCCATTACGTGATGGCGCAGCTATTGAAGGTGATGACGCGTGTGGTGTGGTTGGCTAGACATGCCTACTAATTCGGTCCAAATTTTAATTAATTCATAAAAAATTAATTAGGCATCCAATTAAGTCAAATTTAGTTTCAGATTGCATTGTCTTCATGTCTTGACCCACGTGCCAACTGTGAATCGTATCGGTCAAGTAGAACTGTCCGAATTTTCACTCCTGCGTTTCCGTCTAGACAGACAGACAGACAGAGGAAGTGAGTTAAATAAAAGCTTGTAAAAACCAAATTGATTGTCAAATAGTGTTGAGTGCATTATTAATATAAATAATAAATCGTCCAAATTGGCGAGAAAACAAACCTTTAAACTACACGAATAAAATTTATATGTGGATTAAGTTTGTCTATCTGTCGAAATATGGTATTTTAAAAAAAATATATAGATATTTTCTTTAAACTCCGTTAAATGTATGTTGGATTTATTTGAAAAGCATGTTTTGAAAAATAAATTTACCGTTTTGTCAGTGTCATTAATGGTGACACATCAATAACAAAAATAATAAGATAATAAAAATATTAAAAGCGAATGCTTTTGATGTATACAGTTAGAATAAATTATTCTTCAGCAGATTTTTTTTTTTACTGAATAGAGGTTTTAACTTTTTATTCTGCTTAAATTATCTTTCATTTGATGTACCATATTAATGCTTTTCAAGTTAATATTTGTCATATATAAAATTTCGTACTTTTTTTGTCAATATTTATTATCATTCAACGCTAAATTGTCAAATATTTTATTGGCTTTTGTTACACTTATTGTTTTGGTCACAAGTGGACATATCTAATATGATTTTAATTTATTTTTATATAGACCTAGTTATTTGACAATTTTAATTGTATTTCAATGTATTTTTTATCAATAAATAGACAAATTTTTTGTAGGACCAGTTTGTGCTTGTTTTTACTACATGTTATATATTATTAGATGCAAGTAAAACTAAGAGCACGTTGTTCTGCTTAAATATATTTTCACTGTACACTAGAATTGTTATTGTTTTTTTTTGTCATTGAAAATGGAATGAAGAAAACGCATTGTTCTTATTTGTTAATTTTTGTTCTCTTTACAATAAAAAAATTGCGCCAATTTGGTTATTTTATCATTTCCAGTTATGAATATCTATATCAAATTAAAAAAAAAGGATCGTAATAGGTAGAAAAAGTGGTTCCAAATGGTTCCAATTGGTTGTTGCCAGAAAGTATATTTTTGCACAAAACAATTACTAATAATATAATAGTAATTTACCAAACTTTTTTTATTTTAATTTGGATTAGTATAGTCAGTGTGTTGTGGTGAAAGGAACGGGATGCTATATTTAATATAATATAATGTAATAATAAGTAAACATCAACATTTTAATATAGGCCTCTAGTTCGACCTCTGACTATGGGTCATCTATTCGGATGTCACGTTTTGTTTCCCTCCCCCCCCCCCCCAGCACACTCACTATCCTTACCAAAGGCCAGACCTCCCCCATTCCCCAAAACATTAAACCTAAGTCAGCACCCCCACTGCTATTTTGTTTTTAAAGCATGATTTTTAGAAAATATTTTTAGATCTATGTGCTTTTCCAACATTTAATGTAGGCCTATTGATGAATTATTTTATAATAATTTATAAAACAACTTTTAATAATGCAAATACAGGCTTAAATTTAGTTTCTTAACATGAGTGTTTAAAAATGGAAAAGTGACATTTTACTTTCTGAACACATGGCCCCTTGACACAAAGGTCCGAATCTTCCCCACTACCTCAAAGTCTGATACTGATCTCTTTTATGGACAACCACTATAGCATTTTAGGATATTCATTAATTATTCATACAAACCCAATTACATTTGTTGTTGTGATGGTATCTCTGTTATTACAATTATTAAATAGCTTATCTTAACTCAACATTTCCCCTATCCTCATTTGCTATAGTTGCCTATCATACATCATCTGCTCAAATATCTGGCACGGCCAATAACAACACACTACCAGGAAACAGGCAGTGATTGTAGTTTGCTGTATCTTACACAATACGAACATCAATTGGTTTAATTCAGCATAACCACAACCTCAAAATTTGCATATGGGACATTGTATTATCTCCAGAACAGATTAACTCCATAGTAAAGTAAAAATCATTAGTTTCTAAGCCCAAAATGGTTTATGATGTGTACAAGCACCTTAAATATAACCAGCTATCACTAGGACCTATCGGATCGTAGGGAAAAGTCACAGGAAAATAAACCGGGAGTGATCTCCCCTAAACTTTCTCGAATATTCTTATATAAAATAACAGGGGATGGGAACTCTGGCTATAGACATGATTTTTAATCCATTTTAAATACTTAAAGTTTTAAAAATAGACTAAAATCTCGTAGACAAATTAATTGCACACCAAGTGAACGCCCAATAAAAAAGCGCATAATAGTGCGCAATATTATAAGTACTTTCAAAATTTACATTAGTTTTTTGAGAAATCGGAAGTAGCGTAAATTACTACTTCCAGTCAACGGAAATTACTCAAAATTTAACAGAAGGTAGAGAATTAGATCTGTTACTTACATGTGAAATTTCATTTATCTATCTGAAATAGTACTCAAGTTATAGGCTTTTGAAAAATTCAAAGTAGGAAAAGTACCACTTCCGGTTATCGGAAATCGCTCAAAAGTTGATACGGATCTACGATTTTGATATAATACTTATATATGAAATTTCATCAACCTAGCTGTAACGGTACTCAAGTTATCGTGTTTACACACGGACACACACACAGACACACAGACACACACACACACAGACATACGGACAAGATTGCAAAATTATGTTTTTCCGTATCAGTGAGGTGTAAAACGTCGAGATCTGTAAAAATCTCGATTTTTTTTTTTTGCACGATTACAATACTTTCTCTATACTTCGTATATACGAGAAAGTAAAAAGTCACAAAAATATAACGCATATTTATAACACGCAATAAACATTAAATATGAAGAATGTAGATTTTAATTCCGTTATACATATAATATTAAATATAACTTTTAAAAATTGTTCCACCTTCTCGGTTTTCATCGTGTTTTTAAAACAATAACATTAAATAGACGTGAAATGGCATGAAAGATATGTAATTTATTTAAAAAAAAAAAGAAAATTGAAGTTTTATATATATATATATATATATATATATATATATATATATATATATATATATATATATATATATATATATATATATATATATATATATATTAGTTTCGTCACTAGCACCTTGATAGTGGTTTTGTAAATAACAAACAGATCACAGATCTAATACAGTAGTGATGTTATATAGCAGCTAAGACGTGCTGTTGTGTAAAAAAAATATATATATACACATTAGCTGTAGTGTGAAAGATAGGCAAACGATCAAACCACTTCCATAAATTATTTCCCTTTTTCAAATAGTCAAATGGGATGCTCAAAAGCTCCTTTTAATAGATTTGTAATAATCAAATTAAACAGCAATTACTTATCTTAATTATTATTTTAAAAAAAAATAAGTACTAAAGAATGGTATAGTCTAAAAATGAAACGTAGTTAAAATTAATAATATAAATACAAAAAAAACATAAAAATAAACATAACACGAGACACCATTACTTATACAAAGCTTCATGATTGATATACTTTTGATCGACTTAATGATTAGAGGTATTAAACATAAATGAAAACAAGAGATTTTCAAAACAGACCAATGCACTCATTCACATGACATGTTGTTGTGATTAGATTTCATTGTTTGTTTTTTTCAAAACCCGATCAGGCCAGTAAGGAGTATCCTATGTTCGTATTGTGTTTTTATATATATAAAATTTCTTTGCGGGGTGGCCCATTTTTTCTAGTTCCGCCACTGTAACATGCATGCTAAATTTAAACAGAAACAGCTGAGCTTGGGTCGTGTGGCGTAAACAACAGCTCAGCATGCACTTAAATCAGGTTAATATAAAATTACAATACTCGAAACTTTGTAGAAAGCGAACTGTTTAAAGATAAAAATGTGATAACTCCTCAGAAAACGGTTTCTTTGTCGGGAAGTGTTTTAAGTCGGGAGTTATTTAACCGGAGCCATTTTATAGTGAGCCAATAAGTCGGGAGTCATTTAGTCGGGAGCTAATATGTCTGGATTTCTTTTGTCTAGTCCAATTGTCGGGAGCCATTTTGTCTGGAGCCAACATGGCGGGAGTACTGTTGTCGGGAGCCCAACTGTCGGGAGCCCATTTGTCGGGAGCCAACATGTCGGGAGCCCAATTGTCGGTAGCCAATATGTCGTGAGCCCATTAGTCGGGAGCCCATTTATCGTGAGCCCTTATGTCGGGAGCCAATATGTCGGGAGCCCATTTGTCGGGAGCCAATATGTCCTGAGCCTATCTGTCGGGAGCCAATATGTCGGAAGTCTATTTGTCGGGAGCCTAAATGTCGGGAGCCCATTTGTCGGGAGCCTATATGTCGCAAGTCAATATGACGGGAGCCCATTTGACGGGAGCCAATAAGTCGGGGCCCTTTTGACGGGGCTATTTTGACGGGGTCGGTTTGTCGGGAGTCGATTTGACGGGGTCATATTAACTGGGCCGTTTTGACGGGGCCTATTTGTCCCAGGTC